AAAATATGCTTATTTCTTCGAATTACTGGCAGATTTTGCCAATCTACGTATTTTAACATCCCAATTATATATACGTGCAGTATCTTTTTTTGTGATAGTAAAGGAGATGTTAAAGAATAATGACAGTAATTATATATTATATGATTTTAATTTTGATTTTTTGATTTAGAAGGATACTGACTTCAATTGTGGTAACTTGTTCTCTAAGAAACTCTAAATCTTCCGATAAATTTTTTAAAGAATTTTCTGCTGTTAATAATTTACTTTTTATAAGTTCTTTTGCTTCTTGCAATGAATACTCGAGCATTACATTTGCCTTAAATATATGTGTGTGTGTTAAATTTATATAAATGTAAAAATGAAATAATATATTATTACTTACACCAAGCCATAAATTAACAAATTTTGTAGATTTAACTTTTGCCGGTATCCATAAAGTGTCATTTAATTCAAATGTGGTTTCCATTGATTCATCAGAATTCTACAATATACATTTTACAATTATTAAATCAAAATAATTTTTTTGATAAAATATGAAAGCTTGGTTGATTGATTTGCCTGTTTTTCCATCAAGAATTCCACTGTTTCAAGAGTTTTCTTAATTTCAAGTATTCTTAATTCCAATCCTTGTTTTTTATTAATATAATTTATTTCCATAAATTTATATTTACTGTTAAAAAAACTAAATGTTAAAATATTATTATTTTATGAAATAAGCCTCCAACCAAAAAAACCAACTTACGATACAGTTTCTTGTAATTTAGCTAATATAACTTCAGTAGATGTAGAAGGCTTTGACATAAATTCTTCGACATTTTCCTTTTTTTTCAAAAATTATCGCTTTTGAAAAGGATAATATAATAATAATAAACATTTTTATATATATATACATATTAAATTACCACAAATTGGATTTTAGGAATTCCACGAGGATTAGTCTCGAGCGTTTCAAATGTTAGACTACTACTACTATCACCGCCACTAGTACTAGTAGTTAATGACATTTTGCGAAAAACAAAGAATTAACAAAATCACTGATCGATCTGAAGATTATGTCACACTTACTAATAATGATGTCATATCGCGCATTTAGACATGGCCACCACCAATGTAATAAGTAAACCTCCGTCAAAGATGATCCTTGGCTCAAGTTTTGGGCTAATCTTGTCGGTTGATCGCAAAAAAATACATAATGATTCAGTGTTGTCAATTAATCTACCACTTTACTTTAGTTCTTGCTTACTGCCTCTTTCTTGTACCTAAAAAGTTTCAGTAAATCTGTAAGCACACTTGATGGTATCAGATAACTGTAAATAAATTCTTTTTATTTACTTGTAACCAATCTATTTGGCCGATTGCAAACTCGCTTTGGTTTATTTACAAGCAACTTAAGCAGTTCGTTTAACAATAACGCCGCCAATATTTCCAGTTAACCTTTGGACAATACTTTACTAAAGCGAATAACGTTACTAATCGTTGTTGTTAACCAACGTTTAGTTCTAACAAATAAACGCGACCTTTTACCAAAGCGCTTCGCTTTAAAGTTCATTTACGATTTTAAGGATAATTTTTACAGAGTTTTATTTTATTAGAATTTCAATTATCAAACGAGAACCCGAAAAAGTTAATACCTTTTATGGTTATTGTGTTTATATATAGAGAAAATCAAAGTTAAAGTGGAAAGCAGGCAGTAGTTTTTTTGGAAGTATATAGAAAGGGGTGCAAAAAATAAATCATCATTCCTTTGAAAGTTTAAATAAAACACGAGAAAATTATCTTGATCTTGAAAAGTTTTGTTAAAAAATGTCTTCCTTAATTTTTCTTGCCATTCATTTTTTGATTTTTCGTGTACTAACAACCTCCTTATTACTATGTACTGGTTTCTTTAGTCAAAAACTTCTTTTGCTAATTTTCAAAGTAAAATTTCCTATGGGCAGGCATTCCTTCTTGTTATTTTGTTTCATTATTTTCATCGTTTCTTGTTTATTTCAAACTTAGTTCTTTCAATCCTCTTTGTAAGAGTTAATTCTTCTTTGTTTTTCTCTTGTCTGACTCTCTTTCTCTCGGTAACAAATAAACTTTGGCCGATGCCCTTTTGAATCCATTTTAATTCCTACGTTGGATCTTCTTCAATATTTTTTTAATCTTTCCTTTCTTTGGGCTCCAAGTTTTGTTTAATTGTCGTCTTCTCTTTCCCACATTGTCTATCGAAAATAACCGTGTAGTCTGTAATTGGCGATTTTGGTAGGTTTCTATGATGTTTCCATGATCCTGAAAACATTTTCTGTTTTTAATGATTTTTCAATTATCAAAATCATTTCTTCATATCATCATACATTTACTCATCATTACCCGCTACATCTTTCTTTTTATCAATTTCATCAATACTAAATTCTTTCTCAAATAAATTCTTATGAATTTCGGTTAAAGATTAATTAATGAATAATCATAATGATCTAAATAATAAAGTGTTAAAGTAAGTTAAAATTAATTACAATACAATAAATAGACAAATAAATTCTTTTTTTTTTTGGCTCCGTACATCATGAATTTCACAATGTATCATTTTTATTTCAAGGGAAAATTGGAATTTATGATTTGCTTTAATGGGCATTAATAGTAGATTTTACTATTATCACATAAGAAACGCATTGTGTAGATCTTGACTTTTCATATAAAATTTCTCTGTCATTATTATTTATTAGCATTGAATTTCAATTATTATTTAATTAAGAGATAAAGCATCGGCATATGGTAAAGCAATTATGTCTCCAAGTGCCACAGTAGTAGGTTTACTTGACAAAATTTCATTAGCAATCTATATTAACATATTTTCAATAGAAAAAAAAGAATTAGTTAATTATCAAAAAAACCATCAATGATTTAATTAAAGATTTGGATTTCCAAATATACTTTAGTAACATCAGATGATTTGATATGATCATATCCTGACACTGCTTCGGAAGCAGAAGTGATTTTTGCAGAAGACAAAATCTAGTAAGATAAAAACATAATATTAGTGGTGGTGGTGGTGGTGACAATAACAAAACACAAACAACAACAACAATACCTGATTG